AACTAGCTCTGGAAATTTGTTTTTTTCCCCAAGTTGGGGGATTTTCAGCTATTATTTTATCAAATAAGATTTCTATTCCTTTGCCTCTTTCCTAGAATTCATGTCATGTCATTCCTCTTGGTATGGTCCCTCCCATAAATCTTTTATTGTGTCTTCATCTTCAGATATTTTTAAAATTTTTTTTGGTCATTTTAGATGCTTTCTACTTCCTTCTTCTCCAGATTGCAGATTCAGTCCACAGCTTCATTAAATTGACTATTGAGCACCTCTGTTTTGTTTTTTAATCCAACTATTACTTCTTATTGTACATTATTATGACTATTGCTATGAATTGTTCTTATAGTAGTTGACTTGATTCTTTTATATTAGGTGTTTTCTCCAGGATTTTGTCTTGATCTATCAATTGAGTGAATTCTTCTGTTTTCTCCTTATGCTATATGTGCTATATGTTTTTATCTACTGATTAGGTTGAACATAGTTGCTTCCTAGTTTTGATGTAACAGTCATAAGTTAAAGTTGAAGATTTTAAAGCATTAGTTTAGGGTGTTTACCTTGGATGCTGGACTTTGAGTTATTCTATGAGAGGATGAAGTTTTATCATTACACAGAATGTCTGGAGCCCAAAAGACAGTACTAGGTGGGATCCAAAAACCCAGTCTACCAGATAGAGCCTGGAGAGGCAGGAATCAAGGGTTTTGATATCATAGAGCAGGGCTTCTTAAACTGTTTCCACTTGTGGCCTCTTTTCACCCCCAAAATTAAAAAATTTCAAACAGATTAATGCAACCAGAAATACCTAGGATTCATTATCAGTTGAGTTTGAGTTAATTTTGGGTCACTTTATGTTTGGAAACCTTTATCATTGCCAGCTTTTTTGCAGTGTCTTCACTCAGTCATGTAACTGTACTAGGGTTCCTCAGTTACAGAAGCTCAGCGATAGTCAATGACACCAGCTTCCCTGATGGTAATTGCTCTCTGCCTGAAATGAAGCTTGTGCAAAGTTTCAGTTACAGCCTGGATCTAGTCACAGCAGATCTCAGGGGAGTTTTCTCCTGAGACTCAAGCAGAACTGGGGTGCCATGGACTGAGTCCATAGACAATATCAGTGGTTGTTCGCATTCTTAGTTTGAGGCAGGATGCTCAGCAGCCTGTCAAGTCCAGACATGAGAGGCTGGTATTATTTGGGTCCAGGGGAGCTTAGCTGGAAGCCAAAATAGAACTCTGGCTAGTGCCAAAGCCCAGCAATTTCGAATGCCAGCTCCTCTGTTTACCATGGGTGGGGCAACCCCAGAAGTCTTCAGAGACCAGACAGGGTTGGGATAAGTATCAAGAATGGCTAATTGACATTGGTGCTTTCCTCTTTTATCTTGGAAAAATTTGTATAGAAGATAGAATCTAACTCAGAGAGATTTGTTCTTGAAATAAAAGATTATTTAACTAAAAAACAGAGATAGCAGAAAGAAACATTTTGATTTTATGGAAAATGCAGAGAAATAGAGAAATGTAAGTTTGGTAAGAATGAAGCAAGAGTCAAGAAATCAAATTTGAAGGGTGCTGGGGATATGGTTCAGGTGACAGAGCACATTTCTAGCATGTGCCTGCCTCCCCTCCTGAGTTCTGCAGAGTGTGGCTCCCACGCACCCTTTGTAGTGGATACTGAACCCAAGTTTGCATGCTTGTCACTAGGAAGGTCAGTGTTCAAGAGATGCAAATTAATGTGAGAAAAATAGGTTTATTTTAGTGCTGGTAAGGCAAGAAGATGGTCTACTTGTCCCAAAAAGCCATCTTGCTCTCAGTCTGGGTTAGTGGCTTTTATAGGACTGACTGGTAAAGGTATGTTTGCAGAAAATTATGAAAAGTGGGTCAGTGAGAGGATCAAGTCTGATAAGGTTCAGGAAATCTTTTCAGAGGTCCCAGTATTGGCTGTTCCCCAGGGGAGAGGAGGGGCTGATATTCAGTGTGATAAGCTTCAAGAGGGTTCTCAGAGGACCATTTGCTCTTCCTTCCCTGCATTCATACTGGGCCTGGCTCAGCTTCAAATGCACAATGCTTAAGAACATCTTGCAGTGTTGGGAGATAGGACAAGAGCCATGAAAGTGGGAGTGAGAAATCAGAAGAAATAAATTTGAGTTTTGTTTTTTATTTTTGTTTTGGGGTCACTCCTTGCTGTGCTCAGGGCTTATTTCTGGCTTTGTGCTTAGGGATCCATGAGAAGCCCCAGATCAAACCTGACTCAGCCGCAAGAAAAGCAAGAGCCTTACCCACTGTACTGTCTTTCTAGCCCAGAAGAGAAATATTTGGTGGTGCAGAATAGAGTCTTTAAGGCTTGCTTGCTGACATGTGACCTCTACTGGGAAAATAAAGAAATTAAAAAATTGACACTAACTCTACAAATTGGAATTTTCAGTGAACTCCAGAACTGCTGATATTAATAAGTTTGGACAATGTCTCTGATTAGAAACACTGGAGATGCTCTCACTGCTCCTCAGAATTTGCTTGTATGCAACAGCACCATTGTTCCCTCCACAGTGTATCTCAATGGTAGCTGCCACTTCCCTCCTGTTTGAGTGGTGGGTGGATCCAGGAATTTGCATTAGGGCAACTTTTGATATGACATACCAACAGTACCAAGGAAGTATTACAAAGAGCATGTGGTTTTTTGGTTTATTTTCTTTTCTGTGTGTTTGTTGTCTATGTGTGTGTGTGGTGTCAGAGATTATACATAGGTCATTAATTTCTATTTCAAACAAAACAGAAGAGAATTGACTACTTAGAAAAGATAAACCAGTTAGCCAAATAAATAAAAATCTTCTAAATAATTGCACTTTCTTTCTACCCATGAAGAAACAGAATTAGAAACTAAAGAATTTACCATCTCAGACTATTTGCAATTATTTGAAGTAATCAACTATTGCCAAATCCAAGATTGAAATGTTTTGTTAACTTCCCTTTGATAGTCCCTAAGGTGCAATATGGCACTTTCACCTAGTTGAGTGTTTTCTGATTATAGACCAGTCGAAGTCCACTATAATGTTCTGGATTAACTTGTTTTTGTAAAGAAATATTTCTCTTTAATTATCTGGATCATCAGGTCTTTTCTCTGGCTCATGCTTTTTTGGTAAATACTTGATTCAGCTGACTCTAATTAGCCCTGTATTATCTTAAAAAATATTTAATAACCTAAGCATATTTAGTAACCCTAACTACTAGAAATATATACTTTAAAAATATTTCAGTTGAGGAAGCAATGTCAATAAAAATCTCATAAAAATATTTTGTTGTCATTTTTGTCTGTGGTTTGGTCGAGTGATCAAATCCAGAACCTCCCACATGCAAGGGAAATATTTTATTGAGCCACATAACTTCATAAAAATGTATTTGGGGGAGTTACTTATAATGTTATTACCTAAACAAAATTTTAAATATTGTATAACTTGCTGCCTTGTACATAATATTTATTTCTAATCATGTGTAAAAAAAAAACACCTTGAATTCTGTTTTTCTCACCACTTAAAAGGAATTTAGAAGTTAAATGACTGGAGAGATAATGCAGCGGGCTGAGCATTTGCCTTGCACATGTCTGATTTAGGTTTGATCCCTGGCACTCAATATAGTCACCCAAGTCCTGCTAGGAGTGATCCCAGAGTCAGGAATAAGCTCTAATGGCTGCCAGTATGGGAAGAAAGGGAGGCAGGAAAGAAGGAAGGAAGAGAAGAAGGGAGAGAGGAAAAGGCAGTTTCCAATATTTGACATCTCCCAGTATTTGGGATTCTAAAGTTTTTTGGAGAGGGGCACACCTGGAAAAGTTACTTACTCTTGGAAAATTAACGATGCTTAGGGGATCATATGTTGTTCCAGAATCAAATCTGGGTCAGGTAGCCTTCATGCAAGGCAAGCACCTGACCCACTCTTGTTATCTCAGTTCCAGAAATCTAGTTTTAACTTATTTAAACATTGTTGATGAAGATTTCATTATGTAGAGAACTTGCTTACAAAAAAGAAACTAAAGATGTTGAATACATAGGCAGGCCTCTGAGTATTGTCTTTCCTGTGCATTAGACCCTGATATGACAACAACATTTAAAGCAGTGTTTTACTCTATAATTCCTAAGGTTAATAAAATTGTTTAATTTCAAAATGGTGTGCTGTGGACAACTAGAGTAGGCAGAGAAACAGCATCCCAAGAGGAACTGCTGTGCATGGAACTTGCAGGTGTTTCCTAGGGATCGTCTTTGATCATTACACTGCCTTTGTGAGTTAGGTAGTAGAGTGTCATTTTTTATAGACTAGAAGGTGGAGACTCATGAAGTTAAGCAAGCAGGAACATGCAGGCACTCACATAGCCAACCTCAAAACCTTTAATTCTGGAGGAGGTACCATACTTCCTCTTTCTATATTCAGGACTCCTAGGGGATTTTTATTATTTTTCTGCCAATTTTGTCTCTCACTTCTCAAAAAATATACTATAAATCATTACATATCATTTCCAGTAATGCCCTGGGATTCAGTAAACTCTACCCATGCAGGTCCATAGAACAGTTATTTGAGAATTTCATTATAGGGCTTGAAATAATCCTTGAATAAATTCATCCTATAATGATTATTACGTTGGTGCATGTTTCTATATAGTGTTTGCAATATTATTACTTAAGACTTCTATGCTATGAGGTGGATAACTACTAGTAATATTTTACTAATGTTTAACTGACTGCCTGACTGAGGCCACTTTAGCATGACTCCACAAACTGTACCTCATAGTGTTTCACTAATAAAAAAGGGGGGAAAAATCCTTTAAAAATAAAAAAAATAAAATAAAAAATAAGAGAAATGTGGCTTTTTAATGCAAAAACAAAAAAAGTCAAAATGAAGCCATTGTAAAAAGAAAAGAAATGGTCTGACCAAAAATACACAAACCTTAGTAATGCTTAGGTTGTTTTGAGTTACATTAAAGCCCCACTTAGAGTCTGCCTCTTAAGCTCTTGTTTTCTTTCTTATTACAGGTCAAACTCCTAAAACACCAGACTGGTATAATCCAGGTGAGTGAAGAACATTAAAATTTAGTCAAAGCTACTTTTACCTTTCAATAATGCTTTCAGCTAATTGTTGAAGCCCAGGACTACATCCAGGATTTTTCTGTCATTTCTTCAGTGAGATGAAATCTCCCCAGGCAGAACTGATTGGTTTTTATGGGATAAGGCTAAATTTATCTTTATGTATCAAATCATGATTCAGGAATTCTTGGTTCTTCCAAGATACCCTCCCCTTGCTAGAGAAGTCAGTCATTTAAATTATTTATCAGTAGTTTTAAACATTAAATCCATGCTTGTAGGATGCAGTTTGGATTGCAGAGTTGTAATTTTTTTTTCTTTTTTATTAGTGAAACAACATGAGGTACAGTTGTAGATTTACAAATTTTGTGCTTGGATCTCGGTCATACCACGATCAAATACCCATCCCTCCACCAGTGCCCATTTTCCACCACCAGGATAATATCCCTCCCCCCCATCCTCCCATCCCCCCATCCCCCCCTGCCACTGTGGCAGGGCATTCCCCCCTGTTCTCTCTCTCCTCCTGGGCGCTGTGATCAGCCAAAAAGGCATTGAGTGGCGAACATGTTCAGTCCAGTCTACTTTCAACCTGCATCTCCCCTCCTGGGAGGATCCTCCAAACACCCTCCACTTGGCGTTCCCCTCTCCATCTGAATTGTCCTTTCCCCTAGAATACCCAGCTGGCCTCTAAGTTATGGAGTAATTCTCCTGGTGTTGTGGGTATTAATCTCATATTTTATTATTTTATATCCCCCAGATGAATGCTATCTTTCTATGTCTATCCCTCTCTTTCTGACTCATTTCGCTTAGCATCAGAGTTGTAATTTTGATACTCTTCTTTTCTTTAGAACGTGCTGGAATTCATGGACCTCCAGTCATAATAGAAGGGAGTGAATATTGGTTTGTTGCTGAGCCTCAATTAAACTATGAAGAAGCTGTCCTGTATTGTGCTGGCAATCACAGCTCTCTGGCTACTTTAACATCTTTTACAGATCTAAAAGCCATCAAAAACAAAATAGCAAATGTAATTTAAAAGAACTTATTTTAAAATATTTTTATTTTTATATTTGTTCTATTAAAATGTTTTAAATCTCTTATAAAATCTGCAAAAGTATGTGTTCTTCTAAGGTAAAATTTGCCTCACAATATTTAGATTCATCATTTTGTGTTAGGAAAGTTAAATATAATGGCTTAATGTTTAAAACAGTCAAGAAAAAATATGCAGATCAGTTTAAAAAGTTAGCATAGATAATATATTTAAAAAGTTAGCATAGATAATACATAGATATGTATTCTATGAATTTATAGTTAACTTTAGTTTCTATTGATAACTGCAAAATAACTTTTTGGAGAAAAAAATATTTTTTTAAATTTGTTTCAATAAGACATGATTTATGATTAATGTATGCCCATAATTACAGCAATTGTATTTTCTGTATGCAAAATGGAGTCTGTGAATATGCAAAAGTTTTCAGTCTACCATTTCAGTGAAAGTATCTGGTTTGTATAAATTGGAGACTGCAGTAATGGAATGGCAGGACATTTTAGTGAATTAGTGGGAGATATTTCAATCAAAACTCTCCTAGAAAATTGAGCACATATAAGAATGGGTGTTTGGTTTGTTTTTCAGATATCTGGTGAAGAACAGAAGTGGTGGTTGAGAACTATTGAACAGTCTGTAGATCATCGTTTCTTCCAGTAGGTGCCATCATGGATTCTACCGTGCAAAGTCAGCATATAAGAGAAACACTTTTAGTTCCCTTGCTTTAGGAAAGAAAGATAGTACTGCCATAGGGTATTTGCCTTGCACACAGCTGACCAGGGTAAAATCCCCAGCATCCCATATGGTTCACTGAGCATAAACAGGAGTGATTCCTGAATACAGAGCCAGGAATAACTCCTGAGCACCACAGGTTGTGGCCCTCCTCCTCAAAGAAAATTCCCCTGCCAAATAGATTACAGTTTATAATGAGTCTTTAACATCAATCTATGAACTGTATAAACTTCAGAAACCAAGTCCCTTTACATATTAGCATTAAAAAATATTGGTGTAAAATAAGGGCCTAGAGTTAAAATTACAGTGCAAAGTAGAATGTAACTACCTTATGAGTTGTCACATCTCTCATTTTCTTTCAGCTCACGATATCCATGGCATCACTTTCATGCAATGTTTGAAGAGGAGTGCTTTTCCATAGCTGCCAAGTCCTGGATGAGTGGTAAACTTAATACCAAATCCTTTCATGTTGATTATGTAATAGTGAATTTCAGATTCAGTTACTAGCTTACTCTTGTTTTTCTTTTGATTATATGTTTGATAGCTTCATCTTGCTCTGATTTATTGCTAATGATAGTTAAATTCCAAATGCAAATATAGGTGCTTTACTGAGATAGTTTTACTTCCTTTATCTTAAAGCGGTTACTTAAAAATAAACTTAGCATTTTCATAATTGATATGCATAGAGACATAGATACAAAGAAACAGGCAGCAATTCAAAATGTAACTCAACTCCCTTTCCTCCTTGTTAGCCTTCTCCTTCAGCTCTCTTCCTATTTCCTGCTATTAGAAGCTGAGATGACTGGTCATTAGCCCAAATGTGTGCATTTTTGTAGGCAATATTGTTATGCTGGGCTGCAGCAATAGCACAGTGGTAGGGCATTTGCCTTGCGCACAGCCAGCCCGGCCAGCCGAGTCAGGTTCGATTCCTCTGCCCCTCTCGGAGAGCCCGGCAAGCTACAGAGAGTATCTTGCCCGCACGGCAAAGCCTTGCAAGTTACCCGTGACGTATTCAATATGCCAAACACAGTAACAACAAGTCTTAAAATGGAGACGTTACTGGTGCCCACTCGAGCAAATCGATGAACAATGGGAGGACAGTGACAGTGATTGTTATGCTATAAGCCTACTAATGTGAATGATAATAGAATACAAAAGTGACCATGATAAAAATGAATAAATTTGAACCATTTGGGAAATATTGATTTAAGGTAGATTTCTTTACTACGGGGTTGTTTTCAAAATGTGCTGAATTGAAAAATATCACCTCAGTAATCCTGCTTTTAATTTTTCAGATTTAAATAAATTAACAGACTGTGGTACCAAGTTGCCCTTCATCTGTGAAAAATATAATGTTTCCTCATTAGAGAAATACAGTCCAGATTCTGCAGCTAAAATAAAATGCTCTGGTGATTGGATTCCTTTTCAGAATAAGGTAAAAAGAGAATTACTACATTGTGCCGCTAATAATCATTTTCATTATGATTGTATCACCTGTGACAGAATTGCAGCACATCAGATAAACTTCAAAACGATAGATTCTGCACGTATTTCAGTTTCTCATCTGATTCTCTGCATTGCTAGAAACAAGTTAACTTCATGTTAGCGTGTAAAAATGTTTTTTTTAAAAAATTTTTAAAATTTGTTTTGACTCACTGTGAATTACAGTTATTCATGAATTTTAGGCATACAGTGTTCCATTCCATCACCAACCCATTCACCACTATCCACTTCCCTCCTCCAATGACCCCAATTTCCCTCCAATCCCCTGTGCCTGGGTCTGTGGCAGGCACCTGTTTTCTTTTTTCTTTTACAATCTGTGGTTTATAATACTGTTACTGATAAGATATCATGCAAATTGCTTTAGTGTTCCCTTTCCTGTCTTATTCTCTTCTTACTGGCCTTCTCCCATCCCCCAGTAGAAGTCTTCCTGCTAAAGATCAGTTCTCATGTTCTCTGTTTCTATTTCCATTGGTAACTTGTTCTTATTCTATTATTGCTATATAATAGATAATATAAAATTATATACTATTGTTGCTATATTCTATTCTATTGGTGCTGACACTTAAGGTCCACTGGAGATGATTTATCAGTAAACTTTACTTTCTACATTAAGTAGTCATGGTGCCTTCGTTGCATTATTTTCTGACTAATATATTTACTAATGAGAAAAATAAATAGTACCCACCTATTAGATCAGCATTTCCAAAATTATTTTTGGAAGCTGCACATATGCCAGCAAGGTGTTAATTGCTGATCTTTTCTCCAAAGAGGGATTTATGATAAAATAGACTTGGAAAGTGCTGTTTTCTGTCTGTCTCATTGAAGATTAATAGACTGGGATTAGTTTGCAAGTCTCACAATGTCTTTATAATGAGGTTTTATGTCTGAAAAACATCTATTGTAAAGTTTTATTACTAAAGGTATAACATCTAAGTCATTTAACGTCAACGATATTCTGAAAGGAAAAACAAGAGCCAGAGCAATAGTATAGCAGGAAGAGCATTTGGCTTTGCATGCAGGCAACTTGGGTTTGATCCCCAGCATCCCTTATGGTCTCCTGAACCTTGCCAGGAGTAATCCCTGAAGAGAGAGAGAAATAATTCCTGAGCACTACTGGATGTGACTTAAAATAAAGAAATAAAAAGAAATTTCCAGCGAGAAATGGCACAGAAGCTGACTCACTGGCTTACAAAGTACCCAGGACAAGTATGAGATCCTAAACTTAATACTTGGTGGAACAAGTGTGTGCTAAGATGATCCTGACCACCACACAGTCTAAGGGTCCCAGTAAGGAAGCTTTTTAAAAAACAACAACATGGAAAGTAGACTATGGACTGAACATGTTTGCCACTCAATGCCTCTTTTGCAGACCACAACACCCAAAAGGAGAGAGAGAACAAAAGGGAATGCCCTGCCACAGAGGCAGGGTGGGATGGGGGGGGGAGGTAGGAGGGATATTATCCATGGTGGTGGAAAGTGGGCACTGATGGAGGGATGGGCATTTGATCATTGTATAATCGAAACCCAAGCACAAAAAATTGTAAATCTACAAACGTACTTCATGGTGTTTCACTAATAAAAAGAAAAAAAAAAAACATGGGGGTATGGTGCCACCAGTAGGTCGGTCATTCTGTACCTGTGAGGTGAGTGTATCAGCAGACTGATGGCAATGTCAGACTTTCAGATACCCCAAAATTGCTGCTGTGCCTTTGGCCAGATCCCAAAAACTCGGGGCAAAGTTTACCAAGAAAGTAAACTGCCAAAAGTTAGGTATGTGGGAGACACACCCACAAGCCACCTCCAGCTCAGCTATATAATTGGAGGCATGGCCTCTCTGGTTCCTGATCGAACTGCTAAATAGCCATGATCCCAGAGACTCAGAAGTGAATCTCAGAACCCAAAGGCTTTTGGCAGAAATGCGTCCTGTTCCTGTAGTAGGTTACTGGCGCTGGGCCACTCCAGGTGGAATAGGTTTAGTGCCTTGGCCTGTTCCCCCTGGCGGCCTGGTGACCACCATCCTACAGAGGCCACAGGACAGTCAGGTTTGGACCTGCAGTGACGAGACACACAGGGCCTCAGCACATGGGGGTGGAGCCGATTCTTTCTCCCCATCCCAACGAGACCCCGAGTCGCCTCCTACAAATGGCTTCTCTGGCTCCTGATCAAGCTGATTAATGGCCATGATACCGGAGACTCAGAAACAAATCTTGAAACCCAGTGGCTTTTGGCAGAAGTGCATCTGGAATGGATACAAGGTGGCCGCCAGCTCAGAGCTTATTGGAAAGCCAGGTATGAACCGGCGGTGAAGGGGCAACTGCAGCTCATGGAAATGGGGACGGTAACGACTCATCCTTCAAGCCCTATCGATGTCATGAGTTGCCCCCCACGAGCAGCTGTCTGGCACGGCGGCCATGACTCCAGAGGCAAAAGGACTTAGTCTAGAGCCCAGCAGCTTGCAGAAGAAAAGTGAATGGACCATGCATTAAACTATGGCGCCATGCCTCCCCAGGAGGGAAAGGGTGTTGCTCCTTTCCACCTTTTTCCCCCCTGGCAGCAAGGTGGCCGCCGCCTCAGAGCTTATAGGAAAGTCAGGTACAAGACTGGAAAACTGCAGTCTCATGGTAAGGGGGGGCGGTACCAACACATCCTTCACACCCTACCAAGATCACGAGTTACCCCCCACGGGCGGCTCTCCGGCATGGCCATAACACCAGACACACAGAAACCAATCTCGAAATTATCTGGCTCTTTGCAGAAATCCAAAGTCGTGGCTGCGTGACATTACATGATTCTCATAACCAGCTATAGAAAACAAAATATTTCACAATGCCTTTTCAACAATTCTGAATGTTTTGTCGGAAATTCTAAGCTATAATGATGCATCTTTTGTTGAAATAATGAATGTAATCAATGTAGAGAAAAGCTAAGTAGAAATCATCTGCCTCACAGGCATTTGTAGGGGTGGGAGTGGGGTATACTGGGGTTCTTAGTGGTGAAAAATGAGTACTGGTGAAGGAAAAGGTGTTTGATCATTGTATGACTGAGAATTAAACCTGAAAGCTTAGTAACTTTTCCCACAGTGATTCAATAAATAAATATAAAAAGAAAAAAATAAATACAATTAAAAAAAATAAAGGTGGAGTTCATGCCCAATTCAATCAGCTAATCAGTGGCTGAATAAATAGCAGTTCTCCTAAATAAATAAATAAATAAATTTTTTTAAAATGCTGCCATTATCTAACTTTATAGGTAAAGTTATTTGACTTTCTGTGAAATATTTAGCATATAGTATAAAAATAATTTGACAACTAGAGTTTAGTTATTTGAGAGGATAGACCTATATTCACTGTATAAATTTCCATGTCACATTCTGAAAAATAATACACTCCAACAAAGTTGTAAGCTTTTCTGTGTTGCATTCTTAAGCTTTAATATATGTTCTTTGTTTGCAGTGTTTTCTAAAGATCAAACCCAAGACTTTGACATTTACTCAAGCAAGTGATGTTTGCCAGTCGTATGGTGGGACCCTTCCTTCAGTGTTGAGCCAGAGAGAGCAAGGTAGCAGTGTCATTTGGGAAACATGTTTTATTCTGGTCTGGGGACCAAGTTAGTTGGAGGCACTGTGTAAAATTAACATAAAAATAACCTTATTAAACTACTTATTACAGAGTAGAAAAATGCAATCTTGTTAGAAAAGCAGGAGTTATATATTCAGTGACATTTTTAATAAATAAATTAATTTGAGTAAGTCAGTGCTTCCAAAACGCCTTCATTTTCTCTCTCATGTGCTATATAGAGAAAATAATATGTGAACTACATAAAAAGAAAACCTTTAAACTGTAAGATCAACTAGTGATTACCAGAAGGGAAGAGAGAAAGAGGGTGGATAAACTGGGACAAAGGGGACAACTGTATAGCAGAGGGTGTAATTTGATTATTATTATTTGATTATTAGTGATTATTTGATTATTACTGATGAAATTAGTAATTTTCATCAATGCACACTTGAGTCTCATGTAATATTCTAATCCACTGTTTTTTAAAATATCTTTCTGAAAGATTTTATTACACACTTACTTCCTGGTATGGAAACAACTTTATGGATTGGTTTGCGCTGGACTGCTTATGAAAAGATAAACAGATGGACAGATAATCAAGAGCTAACATACAGTAACTTTAACCCGTTATTGGTTGGTCGGTGGCTGAAACTACCAACAAATGTAAGTGTTTATGAATCAGTACTCCAGATATCTCTGTAGAGTACCCAAGGCTTCCACAAGTCATTGGATTAAGAACAAGGTCCTATTTTATGAGTATATTAGTGGTTGCCAGAGACTAAGAAGGATGGAAGCATTGGGGATGAGGGTTAAAGGGGATGGGGTTTCAGGTTTTGGGGGGTGTGGTGAATATGTTCTAAAATTGATTGCAGTTAATGGTTTCATAACTCTGCAAACACACTAAAACCATGGAATGTATGCCTTCTGGGTGAATTACATCATATATGAATTAAATCTCAATAACTCAACCTTAGGAGGAAAAGATAGAATAGCAACCAGATTCCTCCAGTCTTTAGATATTTCCATGTTTTTATTAATAGAAGCATCAGTCTCCACAGCACTCATCTCACAGTGTTATATAATCATCAAGTAAGTTTATATATTTTGCAAAGAAAAGCTCATTGCTCAACATTTAAGGATTATCAGGAGCTGTCAATTCTTCTGTCTCCTGAGGCAAAAAAAGGTGCAAAATTGGTCAGCAATGATCATTTTTCCGTAAGAACTAAATGAAAAGGTATGGTTTTATATTAATTGTGGTTGTCCTATATCATGATATTGCAGTCCTCCATACTTGCTGAATACCAGCAACCTTTTGTACAAAAGGCAAAGATTAAGAAATTAACATTAAAATCAAAATGAAAAATATATAGTACACAGAAATTAACTTATATTCCTGATAGTGTTACTTTGCTCATTGTTGATGGCTAAAAGAACTCTGACTCATATATAATTACATACAGATTAACAAACAAAATAATATTTATTTATAGAAAACTTGTGGGCCAGCGAGCTAGTACAGGAGGAAAGGTGTTTGCTTTTCTTATGGCTGACCCGTATTCATTCCCTGATACTTCATATGGTCCTCAGACCACTACAAGGAATGATCTCTGAGCACAAAACCAGAAGTAAGACTTGTATACCACTGAATGTGGTCCAAAACTTCTCCCCCACCACCCAAAGTAGAAAATTTGTGAGTTATAGAAGAGTGATCACAATAAAGAAAAGTATCTTATTCTCCCTGATTCCATATGCTATACTTAGGCTAGCAGCTTTTCTCATTTTGACAGGGGCTTCCCCAGTAGTACTTGTGGACCTAGAGTCCACTTCCCGGTGATATAGCCCAGCAGTGAGGAACCACAGGGTGCCACCAGGATTGAACCCAGTGGTCTTGGAGGGGCAATCATTCAGAACCCAGGATTGGGCCATAGGTCATGAGCTCCACCCCTTGGAGTACTCTCTCTCTCCTCTCTCTCTCTCTCCTCTCTCTCTCTCTGTCTCTCACTCTATCTCTCTCCTCCCCTCTATCTCTCCCCACCCCCTCCCCCGCATCCTTAGCTCCAAAACTTTTAACCATGCCTCACAGAAATACAGGTAAGTCACTGTCCAGTTCACAGATAAATATATAAATAAATAAATTGAGGGTTAGAGAGATAGTATAGCAGGTAGTATATTGCCTTTCATGTGACTGACCTGGGTCCAATCCCCAATTATATACATACATATACATATATATTTACATATATATTTATATAATGTTGAATTAAAACAAGAGTTTCAGGAAACACCACTTAGCCTTACAACTTATACACACTAATATTTTCTTTCTGTTCCACTCTCGTCTAGCCTAACCTGTTCTCTTTAGTCTAGCATAGTCTAGACTAAATTTGGTATCCTACCCTGTTTCACTACTGCAAATTTGAGTCAAGTCACTAAGCTAATTTATGAATGAGTCTCAAACCATACTTGAACCCTGTTTAGGAAACCACTGTATTTGGTCATTTTTCTTTTTTTTCAAGAGCTTTTTGTTTCTATATAGAGAAGGTTTTAGTGTGTGTGTGTGTGTGTGTGTGTGTGTGTGTGTGTACACTGTAGTGCTTTGTTTTTTCTCACTTAGAATGATACTACAAATGGTTTCTTATGCCATAAAAATATATACTCTAGAAGCTTTTTATGGAATATGGCCTCTCAAGCAGTGCTCAGAGTCCCAGCGGACATTCTGGCAATATTTGGACAATTTGGCCGGAGGGTTTGATGCTAGGGTCCAAGAATTTAGAACTTCTCAAGCCACTCAGACAATCAGGGCCATCTTACAATACTTGAGGTCTTCCAGCACCACAGCCAGAGAGCAGTGAGGTACTGGACTTTCCAACTCAGGGTTTTAGCAAGTTCTCCTGACCAATGAGCTATCTCCCTGTCCCCTTCATAAGTGTATTAAACGGTTGCACAGTATTTCTTGATACATACAGTATTGCAACCAAGTTGTTGCAACAAATATCATTGTGTACAATTTTTGCTTGTATTTTATATTTTCCGACCTAGACTGGTTCACCCCTCCTTAGGCAACCTGGTGGTCCTCCGCTCCCGGAGGGTCACCATATTAATGCCGAACTTAGTGCAGACACCCGATCAGCATAGCTCACTGTAAGTGTACATGTCGGTTTTTTTTTTTTAATTTTAATCTGTAGCTCCCAGTCAGAACCTCTATTTCTAAGTGTGATATGTTCCAAAAATAACAGAAAGATACAGAGCTGATACATGTAGAGTAAATTTTTATGTCTCATATAATTGAAATCTAAGTAGATTAATGTTTTCATTTCTATTATATAGTATGTGAATTATCTATCATATGTGAATTGTCAATTGTGAGGTACACATTTTATCATCGTTCCAATTTTAGTATATGTGCTGCCGAAGCGAGCACCTGGCTGGCGCGATAGCACAGCGGTAGGGCGTTCGCCTTACAAGCGGCCAACATGGCCGACCCGAGTTCGATTCCTCCGCCCCTCTCGGAGAGCCCGGCAAGCTACCGAGAGTATTCGATATGCCAGACACAGTAACAACAAAGTCTCCAATGGAGACGTTACTGGGCCCGCTCGAGCAAATCGACGATCAACGGGAGGGCCTTTACCTTTACCTTACATTTTATCATTATAAAAGTTTATGTATATCTGTGGTGCCAGGGAGATGGCTCACAGGACTGAGCACATGTTTTGCACACAGGAGGTACAGATTAGATCCCCAACATATGGTTCTCTGAGTAACAAACTGGGACCAGTTTATAAGCACTGCCGGTTATAACCTCAAACCAAATAAAATATTTGAATGAATTAACTAAAATTAAAAGTTTAGATATGTTAAATAAATTAGTAATCACTGTTTTTTAAATTTTTGTTTTAACTGTCCATTGTTGCATGATTATATTTTAGTCTTCTAGCAATTTATTTTAAAGATATGTTTATCAACCACACTCCCATTTTCTTTTCTAACATCTGAAGTTAATTATCTGTTCCTGTAGCTTTGGAAATATATCAGAATTTACTTTGTAACTTCATGATCAGCTCCTGTATAGAATGTTTACAGGAGGAAAAATTCAATTATAAAGAAAATAACGTTTTCTTAATAAGGTCTTCAAACTATTAGCTTCATGATTTTTTCTATATATTTGCTTAGATTTTCGATGAAGATTCCCACTACCACTGTGCAATGATGGTCAACATCCCAAAGTCACGTTTTATTGGAACATGGAATTTTACTGCCTGCAGTGAACACCATACTCTGTTTCTCTGTCAGAAATATTCAGGTATGGATTATTATGTAGGTAACTAGGACTTTATGCTGCTACTTATGTGTATGTGTATATATATATATATATCTTACTTTTTAATAAAAGCTTAAGAATGAATAATAGCATGCCTCATGAGCAGAGGAGAGAAGGCAGATGGAATAGAGAAGGGATCACTAAGAAAATGATGGCTGGAGGAATCAGTCGGGATGGGAGATGTGTGCCGAAAGTAGATAATGGACCAAACATGATTACCTCTCAGTTTCTGTATTGCAAACCATAATGCCCAAAAGTAGAGAGAGAGTATGGGGAATATTTTCTTCCATGGAGGCAGGGGGAGGGTGGGGAAGGGGGTTGTACTGGGGAGATTGGTGGTGGGGAATGTGCACTGGTGAAGGGATGGGTATTTGATCGTTGTGTGGTTGTAACCCAAACATGAAAGCTTGTAACTTTTTCATGGTGATTCAATATTTTTTTTAAAAAAAGGGTGAATATTAACTCACAATCATGTACCTTAAAACTTCAGTTGAATAAATCTATTTTGACTTAGTGAACCAGATGATCTGAAACAGAATGCTATTTTTTTAAGGACCAGCACTATGCTTAATAAAGTATCAAAATTAAGCTTCAAATGAAATTTGTCAATAGTAGTTGTCTACTGGTAATAAGTTATGGTTGACTTGTGTTACTTATGAATATAAATTTTATAAACATATATGAAAATTTTTATTATGACTTTATATCATGGTAATAGGGCTGGAGCGATAGCACAGCGGGTAGGGCGTTCGCCTTACAAGCGGCCAACATGGCCGACCCGAGTTCGATTCCTCCGCCCCTCTCGGAGAGCCCGGCAAGCTACCGAGAGTATTCGATATGCCAGACACAGTAACAACAAAGTCTCCAATGGAGACGTTACTGGGCCCGCTCGAGCAAATCGACGATCATGGTAAAAGGAAGAAAAACTTGAAGTTTTTAATATAGTCTAGCATAGAATTGTTGTTTGGGTTTGGTTTGGGGCCACACACAGTTGCTTGCAGTAGTGCTCCAGAAACTACGTGGTTCCAGAAATGAAACCTGGGATTCTGCCTGAGCAGCATGTGCTCCAGACCTTGAGCCATCTCCTCAGCGCATGAATGTTAGTTATTAAACTTAGAAGTAAAAAAGGATGTGTCACTTTATAAACATATTCTGTATTTCAGATAAAAAATAAAATATATAAATAAAGGAGCTGGAGTGATAGTATAATGTGTAGGGCATTTGCCTAGCATCTGGCCAACCTGGGTTTAATTCCCGATACCCGAGATGGTCCCTCATGCCCAACAGGAGTAATTCCTGAGTGCAGAGCCAGTACTAACTTCTGAGAATTGCTGGCTATGGCACCCAAAATAAAATAATACAAAACAATATACATGTACACACACATATATAATTTGAATCATCCATGTTTTCAATAAAAATATTTTTATGGATCTCAGTGCATTTTAAACAAATCAGTTTTTAAACCTTTGTTATACAGTTAGAATCTTAAATAGATTTTCCATGTGCTTTTAAAGAACTTTTTTTTTTAACTGAGTGGTCTTTTCATTTTTATCAGCTTTTTGTAACTGGCTTGTTCAGAAAAGTAGTGTTTAGCAATAATTCAAATACAATTTACCTCTTATGTAAGGCTTTTTACATTTTTTCATAAGAGCTGTCCAGGATAAAATTTTTGTAAGCAAACACCTAACACATTCACTTGTTGAAGCAGTTCAGAGAAGACATTTGACCCCATCCTGATTTGGTAACCTTTTTGTAGGTTTTTTTTTTTGTTTGTATCTTTTCCCTTCATAAATTTGATCAACTTAAAACAGAGTTTTGCTCCAATTTTAGAAAACCATTCATTTGACACAAGATATATTACAAAATATACCTGTTTCTTCATGTTTTTTTTCTGTTTGGGGGCCACATCTGGCAGTGTGTAGGACTTATTCCTGGCCCTGCACGCAGAGATCATTCCCGGCAGAACTCCAGGAATTATATGAAGTACTGAGGATTAAATCCAGGTTGGCTGCTTGCAAGGCAAGCATCTTACATACTCTACTATTGTTCAGATGCCAAAATATGCTCATTTCTTCCACTCTTAATAAGTAGACAAATAATTTCTAAGGTAAATTAAAAATATGGGGAGAAATTTGGCAAAAGTTCTATGATTTGACGGTTTTTGTGTTGCTCTGTTTTTTATGTACAGAAATGGAAGACATACAGACCTTGAAGAATGCTTCAGAAACTATAAAGTATCTCAATAATCTGTATAAAATAATCCTGAAGAATCTGACTTGGTTTGATGCTCTGACTGAGTGTCACAAAGCAAATATGCAACTGGTTAGCATCACAGACCCTTACCAGCAGGCATTCCTAACTGTGCAGGCCATCCAGCATAACTCCTCTTTATGGATTGGACTCTCCAGTCAAGATGTAAGTTTTCAGGGCAGGTGTTGCAACTGCTATAGTTGGATAATGGAATATGACATTTCTTTATTTATTTATTTATTTATTTATTTATTTATTTTGGTGGGGTTGCATGCCTGCCAATGCTTAGAGGTTATTCCTGCCTCTGCACAGAGGAATTACTCTTGACAGTGCTAGGGCAACCATATGGAATACCAGGAATTGAACCACATTTGACTACATGCAAGGAAAATGTCCTACCCATTGTACTATTGTTCCAGCCCAGAATGAAACATTTTTTATATGCATAGAACCTCTCATATCAAACTAAAAGAAACCTAAGATCAGAAAACTTAAAAATTCCACTGAATAAATTTCATGAATTGAATAATTTTTAATGGCAGTGATCTTTCCACAATTGAAAGACTTGATTTCTTATTATTAAGAAAAAGTTCAATGGACATATGTAGTTGAGCAATTCCTTATATTTATTTGAATCAAAGACTGAGCTATAATCAGGAGCTTCTATGTTCCTTTAGCCATCAAAAAGAGGAGGAAAAATTTTTTAAGTATATGGAGTTGGGCAGGTGTAAAATTCTATGATTAATGCCCTTTCAGAATCAGCAGAGTGAAATTAAGCCACTCTACAAAGAGATTAGAATAGTGTTTCACTACATATCAAGTCCCAGTCCTGGATAGATATAGAGAACGTGTGTGTGTGTGTGTGTGTGTGTGTGTGTATGTGTGTGTATGTGTGTGTGTGCTGGTTGGTTTTTTAAAAATGAATCTGAAGAGTTCCTCTCAGCATTATAGGATGCCTTTTGCTTCTTTTCTAAGCCTTCTGTACAATAATTTGACATCCTGCATGCTGAGATATATCAAAAGGTATGATATAAGGCTAAATGTCACATTTAAAACTAAATAGAAGTTCTGTTACTTGTCTTTATTCAAGTTCATCACAGTCATATATAGCCAGCAGTCTCACAATCAGCATTTGAATCCAGATCCAAGAATCCACAAAGACAGTTTAGCTTCTCTACTATATCACTTCAAATGAGCATCATTCTTAAAATATTCTTGCTAATTTGAGAGCTTAAATATAATATTCTCACTTAGATTATCTGATTTCTTTATTTGTTTGGATTATTAGTACAGCCTTGCATGGGTCCAACCTGGGTTCAGTTGCTGGCACCCCGTAGGATCCCCTAAAACCTGTCAGGAATGATCCCTGAGCACATAGCCAAAAATAAGCCCTGAGCACCTACAGGTATGGCCCACAAAACAAACAAAAAATACATAGGGTAAGCAAATATTTTTATACAAGTCATAAGGTTAGAAAAAATTATATGAAGACATTGATTGATAAGCTATCTAAGGCTATACACATTTGGCACTGTGTGAGGGGTGCCAGTTACAGGAATGTTTTGTGAACTTGACTTGTGCAATGTAGACTTATTAGTTAGATAAATGACTCCTAGATCATTGTTTCTAATCCAGTCTCAGAGAGATATGATTAATAGCAAACAAGGAAGAGTCCGTTGCTGTACTAAGTAAACCTAAGTTATATATGTATTGTAGTAACATGCACTTGGTTTAAGAAAATGTGAATGGAGATAATTTTGTCCACAATTGAAAATTAAACAGAGTTGAACTGGAGAATGAATGAGAAAACCTACAATATATTACCATGGGCAAATCTTATTTTCATTGCCACTAGTAATCTTCAGAATCTCAGTTTAAAGAAGTAGTGATGTGTATGCTTCTATGCATATCTTAAAGAATGCTCACTTCGAGTCTCTGTTTATCCCAAAATATACTCCCAAATCAAGCCAAATCACCAATATGATTGAGTTACTTACCTACATTCACAGCATCAACTGCTTTAAAATATCAGCTCATTTAAAATGTACTTACATTGTGCACAATTAGCATCATACTCTTCTGTGACATCTCCCCCACTTAATAATTTAGATCTTGCCCCTTAACCTATTTTCATTTTTCCTTCCATTTTTCATTTGAACATATTCTCTGTCGCCATTTATTATGTTTATTTTGTTTCTTCAAAAGCAGTTTTAGGGATAGGGAGACAGTTCAAAGGATTGGAATGCATGTTTTGCTTAGGGAACCCTGGGTTCAATCCCCTCCATCACATGGTTCCCCAACCATTCTCAATGTGGGGAAGGGGGAAGGAGAGTGAGTGAGAGAAAGAGAGAGAGACAGAGAGTACCCACATAAGCTGCCTTAAATCTTTGGAACAGAAAGAGTTAAATAAACAAATTAAAATCAATGGGAAGGTATTAGGTTTTAAATACAGTAGTAACAGTAATAGATTTTGACTTAAGAAAAAAATATGCTAGGCAGAGTTGGGGAAAAGTAAACATTTCAAGAGCTAAGAGACCCTTTAGAGGCTTTCCCCCAAATTTATGCAGAAAAATGTGAGACTAACAGAATGTTTTCAGTATCTGAGATATAGCAGTTCTTTAAAGTCTTAGACTCTAATCTAGAGTGTTGACTGTAGAGCATTCAAGTAAGTGAAAGTGAAATTACATAGAAGTTGAAGAAGTCAGAAAGGTCTGGAAACTGGAAGAATGATTCCCAGAAACACTGATGTCCCTTAGTCAGCTAGGACCAGAGAAGCATGGCTCTAGCACCTGGAGAACAGACCTGCCGCTCTAGTAACATCAAGGGGCTGCTCAGACCTGTACTTTACAATCCATCTTCTATGTAAAGCTTTCATATGTTCTTTGGGTGGTCAAGCCCATGTTAAGATGTTAAGATAGGTGGTCACAGACTTACAACGCACAGAATATATATCATGCATGAATAAGCTTCTCAAAGACACGTGAAAGCAGCAGGGTGAGATGCAGGATGAAGAGGAAGGGCACTGAGATTTATGTAGCTCTTCTAATGTACAGGTAGCCACAACTTATGTGTTTTGCACATGTTGTCAAATTTATTCTGGCCTCATGAGGTTCAGTGACATCCATTTAGTGGGTAAGGAGATGAAAACTTGGCAGGATAAAACTCATAAAAAAAGAAAGACTCATAAATGACTGAAGCAGAATTTAAAACTAGGTATCTTAGATTTGAAGCCCATCTTCTTTCCACTGAACCATATTGTCTCTAACTTGATGGTCTTTACTCCATTTTAGCTTTCTGATTTCCAGCAACTAACAGTTTTAGTTATGTGTGAGGACATAACTAAAGAACACTAGGCCTAGTGGCTTGGATAAGAATCCCAGCAATGAAGGTTATATTGTGTCACTTATTCCATACTACATGGCTTCAGTTTCTTCATCTGTAAAATAAACATAATAATAATAACTATCTCTTACTGTTATGAGGATTAAATGAAGTATTTTTTCTGGGTTTTTTTGTTTGTTTGTTTGTTTGGGGGCCATATCCTGCAGTGCTCAGGGAATATTTCTTGCTCAGTGCTCAGAAGTTACCCCAGGCAAGTGCTCATGGAGACCATATGTGGTGCTGAGGATTTTAATCAGGATTAGTTATCTTAAAGGCAAGTGCCTTACGTCCTGTATTGTCTCTCTGGCCCCATGATAATATTTGTAGAATACTTAGAACAATGTCCAGCACACAGTGCTTATAAGTGTGTGTTAAATATGTGGTAAAGTGAAAATTATTAGGCTGACCATGAGGGTCAAAAATACATACTAATAAATGAAATATTGTGACTTGAAATGTATGTCTGTTCCTTATAGGATGAACTCAATTTTCATTGGTCAGATGGAAAACATCTTCAGTTTAGTCGCTGGGATGATAATAATGAGCAACTTGAAGCTTGTGTAGTGTTAGACACAGATGGATTCTGGAAAACAGCAGAGTGCGATGTTTATCAACCGGGTGCTATTTGCTACTATCCAGGAAGTATGTTTATTTCAAATATTTTAATTTGTATATTATTATCAGTCTCATGAATAGAATTTTGGAGAAATATTTTAATTCAATTTTAAAATTGTTAAGAAATCAAAATTGCCCTTTTTACAATATGTATTCAATTAACTGCATGTTAAATATTTTCAGTAATGTCACTTTTGAAATGTTTATTTTTTAGCCAGCTGAAGATGATTATTGAAACTTTAAAGACCCTAATACCTTCATCTATATACATTTTGCATTTATATTTTTATCTCGGGCCAGAGTGATAGCATAGCAGGTAGAGCATTTGCCTTGCAAGCAGCTGACCTGGGTTCGATTCCTCCGCCCCTCTTGGAGAACCTGTCAAGCTACCGAGAATATTCCTCCTGCACAGAAAGCCTGGCAAGCTACCCGTGACATATTCAATATGCCAGAAACAGTAACAAGTCTCACAATGGAGATGTTATTGGTGCCCACTCCAGCAAATCGATGAACAACGGGAGAACAGTGCTACAGTGCTATTTTTATCTTGTTCTTGCTCTTTTTTTTTTTTCAGTTTTTGGTCCACATTGCTATAGATAAAAATAGCTGTGGAGAGCTGGGCAATTCGCTTAGAGGTACATGCTTTGTGCAAAAACCTGTGTTTGATCTCTGTACCACATGCTCCACCGAGCACCATAGAGTATAGTGCTGGTGGCCCCCTGCGTTGCTGGAATCAAGCATTCCCTCATCACCAGGCTCTAGCATTGAACCATAAAACCCAGTTGGCTGAGTATTGCCAGTAATAGTCCCCAAATCCCCTGAGCACTGCTTTTGAGTCCCTCCCCTTTACACCCTCAAAAGAGAGTTCAGGCTCATGAGAAATGACAGTAAAGAGCTGAATGAGATTCAAGAGCCCAAAGATAATCTCTCTTTACCTATCCTCTCTGTATCTGTCTATGGACCTGCCTTTTTCTCTTTATATGATTTCTGCTTCTTTCTTTTTGTGTTGAAATGTGAGGACTCTCCAGCTTCTAGTTATAACCACAGTGGAAGTCAAATTAACTAATTCTGAGATCATATTTCACAGAGAGAGAATCTAATGGACTGAGTTTGAGTCAGGTGCTTATCTCCAGCCCAATCAGAGGAAAGTGGTTTTAGAACCACTAGGAAATCCACATTTTGTAGCAGAAACTAAACACTGCTTCACAGATAGAACTGTGAGTTGCAGAAATATGAATAGTCTCTGCTATTTATGTTAAATCAGTTTTGTTTCTAATAGAGTATTATAATATTTTAGCTCTATATTGTGTAGCCTTCTCATAAAATGTGGGAACCCATAGAGTTTTCTAAGTAATAGGTTTTAAACTACTTTTTGTAACTAAAGCAGTAATTCATCTAAATTATTAATTCATTTAAATTTTGCTTTAAAATTAGAGAAGAAATAAGAAACTTGATTTTTTGAGTGATATATTGGTGCCTGTTATTAATGGATGTATAGTTTTTCTTTGATGTTCAATAATGGGGAAGGAAGACAGAAAATGCATTTAAACTGATATTATTGATTTTTATATTTTCCTACTCAGTCTGAAGCAAGGAAAAGAAAATTGTGATAATTTCCTTCCTATGAAAGCCAGTTAATAGGTCACACTATATTTTAATATAAACAGAGCACGCATTGCTAAGCTATTATTTCCTGACTTCCTGGATATGTCCTATAAATCAAGTATAATTACTATGAACAGGATTTAACATTTATACCTGAAATAAGGATTCTTTCCATTAATTCTTTTTTCTAGATGAGACTGCAAAAGAGGTCAAACCCACTTACAACATTCAATGTCCGTCTCCTGTTCTAAATACTCCATGGATACCATTTCAGAATAGTTGTTACAATTTCCTGATTACAAAGAATAGACACACAACAATAACACAAGAGGAAGTTCACTCTAAATGCCAGAAATTGAGTATGTATATTTTATTGCTATTATATAATGTATTATGCTCATTTTAAAAAGTTCAGCTCAATGTATTATAATTGTTTCCAATTTGCTGGTAACAGGATTTCAAAAATATGTCTCCTGATTTTACATTATCAATGTTTAGGTGTTGAAATTTGTGTTTAATTAAAATGGGTGGTTCAGCAATAACCTGCTCATTGCAGAACTCATTACATTTTTGCATATTTTAAACAACAAAATGAATTCTACTTTTTTAAAAAACAGGAATTACTGTAGACTGCATATCAAAGGACTGCGTATCAAGCCAAGTTTGGCTATGGGCAAAGAGAAACTAGGTTTGTCTGAGTGGTTAAAAGCATAGATAAATCACAAAGAAACAGTCCTGCTTGAAAGAAATGCACATTTCACATTTTCATTTCTTAATATTCTATAGATATTTCCTATGAGATCCACCTAAAATTTGTTATTTCTAAACCACAAACCTTTGAATTTTTTGTAAATTTTCTATAGAAAATATCAAATAATTATTCCCCAAATTGTGCTCTCTAGAATACTAGTCTAGAAAGATATTATACAAAGAAGGGTTCTTAGAACAAGACTGAGAAGCATCATACACTACTCCAAATCTGCCGAACACATCATAATTTAAATTAAGTAACTGTGTGTAGCTAATTGTAAATTAATTTGATAATTAAGTTTTAAGTAAGTTGAACAAGTGATAAGTAGTTGTATAAATTTGTGACTCTCTTTTTCTTTAATAGATCCCAAATCACATATTCTGAGTATTCGAGATGAAAATGAGAATAATTTTGTTCTTGAACAACTTCTACACTTCAATTATATGGCTTCATGGGTCCTGTTAGGTCTCACTTATGAAAGTAAGTTCTAAATATACTTATTTTCCCTACTTATATCCATACTATATTCAAAACTACTTCTTTATCGATTTTTAAAGTGTCTTTATTAAATATACACAATTTAATTGTGTCCTTAGCATAATTTATATACATTACCAGGACAGTTGTGATTTGATTTGGGGGACAGAGTCACCTAAGTCCTACTCAGGGTGCCCAGGGATCACTTCCAATAACTCCAGACCAACTAGGTTAGATAGTTGGTGAGAGGACCCTATGTTACCACTTTCATTTTGTTGCATGTGGCCAACCAGTTTTCCCAAAACTTGAAGCCTTCCTTGCTCCAGTTCATGGATAAACAACAAATTTAGTGTAAATATAGCGCTTATTAAGTTAATTTACATTCATTGTTTCATTACTTCAGTATCCAAAATAGTATTTAATCCCAGAGCACCACAGGTGTGACCTAAAAAATATAAATATAATCTTAAAATTAAGGGTTTTTTTTAAATAAGACAAAAGAACAAGATACTTTCTTTTTTTTATTGAATCACCCTGAGATACAGCTAGAAAGCTTTCATATTGGAGTTTCAGACATACAAAGATCCAACACGCATCCCTCCACCAGCCTACATTTTCCACCACCAATGTCCCCAGTATCCCTACCACTCCCCACACCCCATCCCACACCTCCCACTACCTCTATGGCAGACACTTTCCCTCTGACTCTCTTTCTACATATGGGCATTATGGTTTGCAGTACAGATAATGAGAGGTTATCACATTTGGTCCTTTATCTACTTTCAGCACACATCTCCTATCCCAAACAATTCCTCCGACCATCATTGACTTAGCAATCCCTTCCCTTTCCAGCTGTCACCTCCCCCAGCTCCTGTGGCAGGCTTCCAAATATGGAGCAATATTACTTGCCCTTGTCTCTACTGTCTTTGGGTGTCAGTCTCATATTATAGAACAAGATATATTCTGTGTTCTAGAAAGCACTTCTCTAAAGCTCACCTAACTGTAGAATTCCTTTGAATCATCTTCTTTATAAAAGTTTGTGATATATATATAGAACATTTCAAGCAGCAAATAAGTTTAGTATAAACATAGTGTTTATTAATTAATTTACATTTATTGTTTTATTATGACTATAAAGAAGCAAAAAGTGCAACATGCACACAACACAGTGCTTCCTTGTAACAGTTCTAGAATTAAATATTTAGGCATATTGATGTAAGAGATTCAAAAGAAGGTGGAAGTAATCAGGACAACAAGGTATATATAGGTGATAACCTATATACAACCTGTATAATCTATCTGTAAGTGATATGACTCTTCATCACTGTATCACTGTATACTGTCATCCTATTGTTTATCGATTGCCTTGAGCAGACTCCAGTAACATCTCCTTCGTCCAGGCCCTGAGATTTTAAAAAGTACCGCATTTGAGGCTCTTTCAGGGCCAGGAGAACGAGACCCATCATTGTTACTGGTTGTTGGCATATTGAATACGCCACGGGGAGTTTGCCAGACTCTGCCATGTGGGCAGGATACTTTCAGTAACCTGCCAGGTTCTCCAGAGTAAGAACTAGATAATAAGATGTCGCAGCCATGCACCTCCGGGAGCAGGGTTTTATAGTCGCTGGGTCTTGGCCGTTGATGGGATTACATGGTGCAAGGGGCAGTTGGTGGGTGTAATGCCTATATTCTGGAAGATGGAGGATCTGGGTGGACTATGACTCTTCATAACAGTTCATAATTTCAATATTTCTCTTAATTTCTCTTAATTTCTCATAATTTCAAACTTTCTGACAGTTTTGTTGAGATATATATTACATACCTCACAATTTAGCCATTTATTGTTTATTCACAATTTAACTGACTTTGAGTGTACTCATAGAAATATGCGACCATCACTTCTACAAAAACAAATACTATCCTCATGAGACATACCTTCTCATTTCCTATCCCATCTCCCAACTTTCAAGTGCCACTAACCTACTTTTTGTCTCTACAGATTCACTATTCTGGATATTTCATATAAGTGATATACAATTTGTTATTTTTTGCAGCAGTGGGGATTGAGCCATACATAATTGGGGGGGGGGGGGCTGTGATTGATTTCTAATTCACATAATGGTTTCAAAGTTTATGCATATAGTCCTAAACCTCCTATCAGTATATACTGATTTATATATGAGTGTGTGATCCCCGCCTACTAGAATATGGAGGATCTGGGTGGAGGATGCTCAGCCCCGATCCAAGTAGGCTTGGAGATCTCAGTCCCGGTACCCACGTGCCTTTGTTCCTCTGCCGGTACCTTCATGTGTGCGGAGAGTGGTCTCAGCATGGTGGTGGCTGGTTCTGAAGGTCTTTGGCTGCTGGAGCCCTGGTTGGGGCGGGGAGGGAAACTCAACCCGCTCCCCTCCAAGGGGCCCCCTGGCTCTGTGTAATCCCATCAACGGCCAAGACTCAGAGACTATAAAACCCAGCTCCTGGAAGAGAACAGCACAGAGTCTCTTGCCCCCGCACCTGGCTATCCTCGCCGGGGCCCCTTGGAGGGGAGCAGGTTGAGTTTCCCTCCCCACCCCGACCAGGGCTCCGGCAGCCAAAAACCCCTAGAACCAGCCACCACCATTCTGAGACCACTCTCCGCACTCATGAAGGTACCGGCAGAGGAACAAAGGCACGCGGGTCCCCGGGCTGAGATCTCCAAGCCTACTCGGATCAGGGCTGAGCATCCTCCACCCAGATCCTCCAAATTCCAGTAGGCGGAGGTCACACCCACCAACTGGCCCCCTGGCGCCGTGTAATCCCATCAGCGGCCAAGACTCAGAGACTATAAAACCCAGTTCCCAGAAGCGTGCGACATCTTATTATCTCATTCCTACTTTGGACAAATTGGCAGGCTACCAAAAGTAACCTGACACACGGCAGAGTCTGGCAAACTCCCCATGGTGTACCCAATATGCCAAATACCAGTAACAATGATGGGTCTCATTCTTCTAACCCTGAAAGAGCCTTGAATATGGCACTTTTTAAAAAATCTCACGGCTAGGATGAAGGAGACGTTACTGAGGCCTGCTCGAGGCAATCGACGAATAACAGGATGGTCATGATCGTGATATATGAGTATGGACATACCACTTTTGTTGAGGAGGGTTGGTTTGGGGCCACACATGGCAGTTATAAATACTTACGCCTAGCTCTGTGTTCAGTTATTCACTCCTGGTAAAGCTTAGAGTACCATATGCAATGTCAGGTTAACCACATGCAACCTTTAGATGGTGAGGAAATAGAAAAACCATAGCTGAGTTTGGGTATTAACCTCACAACTGTAATTTAGTTCTTGATTTAATCTCTATGCATAGAAAAAAATCTTTCCTTTAGGTAATTCCCTTATGTGGACTGACAAGACCAGGCTGTCATATACAAACTGGAAAAGAGGGAGACCAGATATAAAGAATAACAAGTTCTTTGCTGGCTTGAATACCGAAGGCTTGTGGGATATTCAGCCCTTTAATGTTATTGAAGAAACGCTGTATTTTCAACAGCATAGCATTCTTGCTTGTAAGATTGAAATGGGTAAGTACACTAATGTTTAAATTCCTTACTGTTATTTAGGCCTTCCCCTTCTCTTAGTTGTTGCAGTGACGAGGTTCTTACACCTAGTTGAAGTGCTTGTGGGGGAGGTTGCACTTTACTTGTAGTTCTTGCATACCCTTGATTGTGGAGTAGATCACACACTTTTGCTATGTCACCAGTGATCCTATCTGTAGGGATCTCACCTGGCATGCAGAATGGTGGTAGAGATCAATCTCAAAGCATGCAAAGCAGCTGCTGTGCCACTGAGTCACATCTCCATCCCACTTTGCGTTATTTATTTTGTGTAGGTTATTCCTAGATTATTTAATATTGGATTAAATAGTTGAAGAAGTAAAAGTGATTAATAAAAACAGGAATAATGAAAAAATGGAGTGCATTAGAGGTAAATACTGGTTGAACATTAAGATATTGACACATAAATGTTACATATAAAATACATTAACACATAAATGTTATATATAAAAACATATACCTTGTTGTATATCTTTATACATAACAAAGTGTACTTGGGTAGATTTTTGGTATCCTCAGTTAAAAAAAATGAATATCTTTCAATATTGTCTAATTACTTAAATCGGTTTTTAAATATGTCAGCCTTTAAAAGGCTCATAGCAGGGCCTGAAGAGAATAAGCTACTTACCTTGCACCTTGTACAAAACTGACCTGGGTTCACTCCCTAGAACCTGGTAAGGTCAGTTAAGGTCGGATCCTTAACTTAGAGTTAAGGTTGAATTCAACCCAGTTTAAGGTTGAATTCAAGAGTGATCCCTGAGAACACAACCAGGATTAAACCCTGAGCACTATTTAGTATGTCCCCAGTCCCCCCCTCAAAAAAAAGCTTATAGCTTAAATGTTTGAGGCTTCTCTACTGACACAAAGCTCATAGCCTCAATGTTATTATTAAGGCTTTATTTTTAATTTTCATGACCTTGACAGTTTTGTAAAAACACTGGTCATATATTTGTAAAATTTAGATTGACCATGTTGTTTTTTTCTCATTATTAAATTGGGGTTCTGGAATAAGGGTTTGAGGGAAATCGACAGAATTGATATCATATGGAAGATATCACATCACTTATTACTGTTGATTTTAATCTTTATCACATGGTTCAAGGTAATGTCTATTAGCTTACTTCACTATGAAGTTACTCCTTTTTCATTTTTCATACTGTATTCTTATAAGGACATAAAGTCACTGCTCAATCCACACTTAGATAATACAGAGTTGTCCTGAATGGGAAAAATAAATATATAAATTATTTGGAATTTTATTGAACACAACTGTCTATTCTCCCAAGTTTTAAAATATATTCAATCATTATTACATAAGTATGAGCTCATGGTTATGTCTTTTATACTTTAGGTTATAATGCAATGTTATTTATTACACTGCTTAAATTGTTTCAGTTTTGATCATTGGGAGCTATTTCATTTGGCTCCAATGTCCCTTTGAAATACCCTTGTATTAGTGGTTTTGTTGTTATTATAAGTGTGTTTTCAATAGTCTTTTCCCTGTTACCTTATTTAAGTCTTAATCTTATGTGTTCTAAATTTAGAAGACCTAGTTACCCAATAGGCTCTCTGGCTCTTTTAATTCAGAAGAATCTTCTCGGTGAGTCCTGAATATGTCAGTAGTTCATTCTTTCCCTTCCATTAAAGTGCTGTTTTCTGTTCCCAACTAATAAGTGAGCTCTGGAGCCAGAGCAATATGCGTAGGGCATTTGCCTCACAAACAGCCAGTCCAGGTTTGAGCATTCCATATGGTTCCCTGAACCTGCCAGGAGTGATCCTGAGAACAGAGCCGGGTGTAAGCCCTGAGCATTGCCAGGTGTAGCCAAAAAAATAAAAGTGAGCTCTTTAGATAAAAACAATGATTTTGGTTTTATTTAATCACCAAAACATTATAATATTAAGAATTTATATATATGCTATATCAATAAAGAATAAAGAATTTGACCTTCCCTTTTAAAAAGAAGTCCAATCATTTATAACTTTTGAAAAATCCAATCTTATGCAATATATTGATTTTAATAACTGTAATTACTAATATTTTAAATTTTGATATTATAGTTGACTACAAGGAAGAATATAATACTACTCTGCCACAGTTTATTCCATATGAAGATGTTATTTATAATGTTATTCAAAAAAAGTTAACATGGTATGAAGCATTACAAACATGTTATCAAAATGGAGGTCATTTAGCAAGTGTTCATGACCAAAAAGGCCAGCTCTTCCTAGAAGATATTGCAAAACGTGATGGATATCCACTGTGGGTTGGGCTCTCAAGTCATGATGTAAGTCTTTTTTGTTTCTAAAAATTTTTCAGATTTGTTTTTTTAGCTGTTGGAAATTTGAGCACAAGATAATAATCTGAAGTGTAATATCAGATCAAGTTCCGGGACTAATTTGTTTAGTTCATTTTTAAAATGCTTAAATATATTTCTTATCTTTTCACAACAAATAGAAAACCATAATTGTGGCCTGCGGTGATAGCATGCCTTTATGCAAACCAATCTCAGTTCATCTCAACACTGCAGTGTCCCCCAAATACCCCAAGAGTTTTTACTAACACAGAGCCAGAAATAAGCTCTGAGTACTATTGGGTAGTACTCATAAAATAAACACAAAAATAAAATAAACATTTAGGTAAAAGGTAAAGGCCCTCCCGTTGATCGTCGATTTGCTCGAGCGGGCCCAGTAACGTCTCCATTGGAGACTTTGTTGTTACTGTGTCTGGCATATCGAATACTCTCGGTAGCTTGCCGGGCTCTCCGAGAGGGGCGGAGGAATCGAACTCGGGTCGGCCATGTTGGCCGCGTGTAAGGCGAACGCCCTACCCGCTGTGCTATCGCTCCAGCCCGATAGCACAGCGGGTAGGGCGTTCGCCTTACAAGCGGCCAACATGGCCGACCCGAGTTCGATTCCTCCGCCCCTCTCGGAGAGCCCGGCAAGCTACCAAGAGTATCCGATATGCCAGACACAGTAACAACAAAATAAACATTTGAGAAAGAAAATTATTCTTGAGTAGTGCACTATGGCAAATGACCTAGACAGCTTTGTACTGCACAATACCAGGCCATCCTAAGAACCTAGTAGATTAATATATGTACACTACTCCTGTAACATATTTGGGAGTTTTTTTCTTATTGAACTATTGTGAAGTACACAGTTACAAAGTTATTCATGGTTGAATTCCAGGAATACAATGTTTCAACACCAGTCCCTTCAATTGCGTTCACTTCCCTTCATCAAATTTTCCCAGTTTCCCTCCTGCCACCCTTAACCAGCTTCTAATATGGCAGGCACCATTTTCTTCTTCCTCTTTTTTTCTTTAAAATATTTGGTTCAGACCAATTGAAAAGAGAGTGAAAAGGAATAGCATAGAATCAATAAAAACCTCTGAGTTCTTATACTAATAGCTTGGTTTATTAGTATTAGGTCTTCCATTTATGTATTAAGTGTTAAATAAAAGTGTTAGCATTAATAAATATATGTTTTCTTCCCATTTTTACTTACAAGTTAGCATTATTTGAGATTAATTTTGTGCTTATGCTAGTAAAAATGTCTTTTGTGTCTCAGTTTGAATGCAATTAATTTGTATATTCACATATATAGTCATGTTGCATATATAAAAATGGACCTCTATTGAGATTCAAATTAAAAGCTAAATTTAAATAGTCTTAAAACAAAATGGAGGGGGGGAAAGTTAAAAAGGATGGTAAATTCTGATTATAAAAAAAGAAAAATTAAAAAGTAATCTTCCTTTTTGAGTTTCTTGGGAAGTATTTTCTTGCTCGAGCTCTTGCTGCTAGATGACTTCTCAGTTATCAGAAAAGGTATCCAGACATCCACACCACAAAAACTATAGAACTAAAACAACAACAACAACAACAAAACAACATTTAGTATAAAATGAAGGTTGGGTAGTAGATCTATAACTGTGACAAATGGAAGTCATTTGCACATCATTTAATTTCAAGTATTATATAAACTCATGCTATTGGTGTTCCATAAACAATAGTGTAAATTTAGAGAATTGAATAATTCTGTCTCTAAATTTACAGTCCTACTTGAATTGTGCCCGATCAAATGTCTCAATTGAGTATATAAAAAAGTGAATTCCCGTGATACAGAGAAACATAGTCAGGAAATAAATTCCCAGTGGTAACAGAAACTGAAAAGTGGTCTTAAGGAGGAGGTTTTACCATAGTGGGTGATGGGGAGATGGAGGGTGGGGTGGACACCGGGTGGACACTGGGACACTGGTGGAGGGAAGGACTCTGGTGGAGTGTGTGATGCTGGAGTATTTTTTGCCTGAAATCTCAATGCCTAAAATTATAACTAAAAGATCCTGCAAATAGATCTACGTATGTAATTGGCATTCTAATATTTCTTAAAATACAAATGTTCTTTGTTGGTAGTTTTTTTAATTGAATCATCTTGAGATACAGTTACAAAGCTTTCATATTTGAGTGTATGATTTTCAATCATACAATGATCAAACACCCATCCCTCCACCAGTGCATATTCTCCACCACCAATGTCCCCTGTATACCACCACTCCAACCCTCCCTCTGTATCCGTAGCAGACAGTTTTCCCCATACTCTCTCTCTACTTTTGGGCATTATGGTTTGCAATACAGATACTGAGAGGTTATCATGTTTGGTCCTTTATCTTTCAGCACACACCTCCCACCCCAAATGATTCCTCCAACCATCATTTTCTTAGTGATCCCTTCTCTATTCCAACTGCCTTCTCCCCCAGCTCATGAGACAGGTTTCCAATTATGGAGCAATCTCCCTGACCCTTGTGTCTACTGTCCGTGAGTGCTAGTCTCATATTATGTTATTTTATATTCCACAAATGAATGCAGTCCTTCTACGTCTGTCCCTATCTTTCTGACTCATTACACTTAGCATAATACTCTCCGTGTCCATCCACTAACAAGCAAATTTCATGACTTCATCTCTCCTAACAGGTGCACAGTATTCCATTGTATAGATGTGTTAGTGCATTTTTTATTCATATATCTGGAATCAGTTTTTCCTCTATTATTCTTCAAATAGGGAAAAGAGTCAAACTTTGAATGGTCTGATGGCAGTGCATTTGACTACATTCCATGGAAAGATAAAATATCTGAAGGAAATTGTGTTGTCTTGGATCCAAATGGAATTTGGAGACATGAAAAATGCAGTTCTGTTCAGGATGGTGCTATTTGTTATACACTAAAAACACGTGAGTCTTCATTTTGAATAACTACACATTTACTGAAATACAACACTTGTTAATGCCCATAAGTATTCAGAAGAATCTTTATATTTTCTCAGTAAAGTTTATTCATGAGTCCTATGTATACGATTTTTAGTACTTTGTGAGAGAAACAGATGTACTCAGTATCCAAGGAATTTGTTCCAAAGACTTATCCTTCTTATATCATGATGTAAAATTTCCTCTGCACTGCACTGCACTGTCCTCCATCAATTTGCTTGAGCGGGCACCAGTAACATCTCACAACAAATTGTGAGACTTGTTGTTACTGTTTTTTGGCATATCGAATACGTCATGGGTAGCTTCCCAGGCTTTGCCATGCTGGTGAGATGCTCTCAGTAGCTTGCCGGGCTCTCTGAGAGGGGCAGAGGAACCGAACTCATGACGGCTGGGTTGGCCATGTGAAATTTTGTCTAGAATTTATAAATTTTAAACTCACTTAGCAATGTTTTTTTAAGGATTGAGATGTTCCTTTTTAAAAATAGTTCTGTAGGCAGAGTGTTAAAAAGGGATATTCTTGATAACCTTTCAATATCAATATTGCAAACTGCAATGCCCAAAAGGAAAGAGAGAAAGAGAGACAGAGACAGAGACAGAGACAGAGACAGAGACAGAGAGAAGAAAAATGCCTGCCATAGAGGAAGGCTGTGGGAGGGAGGGAGTGATGGAAGGGAACCTGGGGACACTGGTGCTAGGAAATGTACACTGGTGGAGGGATGGGTGTTGGAATACTGTATTACTGAAACCTAATCATGAACAGCTTTGTAAGGGTCTATCTCACAGTAATTCAATAAAGAAAAGTAAAATTTTAAAAACAAGTTGATACACTAATGAATTGTCCAATCATTTGAAAAAAATGTATTTTATTGTCATCTACTCCTATAACATACACTAATGCCATTATGTTCATGATGCTAAATGACACCCCAGAATTCTCAAGAATTTGTCAATTTAAAAAAAAAAGTTCTGTAGGGGCATGAGAGTATTTAGCAAGTAAGGCAATTGCTTTGCATGCATTCCATTTTGCTCAGCAGTACCATCAGTAGCAATCCCTGAGCTTGGAGAGCCAGAATTAAGCCCTAAACACTTACCCACATTTCTTCTCTCTTTCTTCTGGTAATGACTGTCACTGTCACTCTCATTGTCCTCCCGTTGTTCATCAATTTGCTCGAGCAGGCCCAGTAACGCCTCCGTTATAAGACTTGTTACTGTGTTTAGCATATCAAATATGTCACGTGTAGCTTGCCAGGCTTTGCGGTATGGGCGAGATACTCTCAGTAGCTTGCCAGGCTCTCCAAGAGGGGTGGAGGAATTGAACCCGGGTCGGTCGGATTGGCTGCGTGCAAGGCAAATGCCCTACCGCTGTGCTATTGCTCCATCTTTAGTCCAAAATATTTTTTTGGTTTTATTTAATTTCTCGTTTTCTCTATGTATCACATACTTGTATATCACACATGAATGAAATCATATGGTGCTTACTTTTCTCCAAAGAACCAGTTTAATGTTATTTTGTGAACCAGGAATGTAGTTCAAATGGTAGAGTACATGCCTTGCACAGGAAAGATTCTGGGTTCTGTTCAATCTCCAGCACCTCATAACCCCTGAATTTGCAAGGTGTAGCTCCACTGGCTCCTGAGCACCACAGGAGTAGCCTATCAAAAACCAAGATGATAACAAAGTTGGTTCTTAAAAAAGGAAGGAAGGAAGGAAGGAAGGAAGGAAGGAAGGAAGGAAGGAAGGAAGGAAGGAAGGAAGGAAGGAAGGAAAATAACAAGTGTTGGTAAGAATATGGAGATTTTCGTTTTTTTCATGTAAGGATATAAAGTAGTATGTTTCTAGAGAAAGACTTCATGTGTAGTACACATAATTAAAAATTAAATAGTTTCATTGGAAATCAAGAGCATTTTTAAGAACCCAGGAGATATGCTTACTCTTTTTTATTTGTGTGAGACAAATTTTATTTTTCTGAACTGTGCTTTAGAAACAAGCGACCAATTTTTCATTTGCTGGATGATTTCCCCATCAAAAACTGAACCAGAGGCTCACAGCCTAGCTCATATGGTGTGGCTTTTAGAATGTTTTAATATGTAAAGGTAATGCTAGGTTTCTATCATCAAGAAAAGAAATTCTAACAAAGAATTTCAGTAGTTTCAAAGTTATTATCAGCCTGTCCACCCTGTCTTTGTTTCTCTTCTTATTCTTCCTATTCATTCTACCATACTCTAAATTTCTTTTAGAGGACTGCATACTTTTCTGTATTTTCTAAGTTTTTTAAACAGTCCCCCAAAGCTAATTAGAATATAAACTCTTAGCATATGAAGTGTAGCTCTTTCTGGTATACACATGGAGCTGAATGTTTCATAGGCACCGGAGCCACAATATCAAGTTAGGGTCTTTAGTGAGACTTTAAAACCAGCCAATTTTTTCTACTCATTTTACACCTTTGTCTAACACTTTTACAGGTAAAGAGGTTTCTTCTTATACATATTCTTCAAGATGTCCAACAGCAAAACAGAATAAGACGCAGTGGGTCCAATACAAGGGTCACTGTTACACATCTGACCAGTCATTGCACAGTTTCTTAGAGGCTAAAAAGTTTTGTTCAGAACTTGGTGAGTTAAAATTGGTCGACTTTACTTTGACTCAATAATTTGGTGATAGAATTTTTCTTAAAGAGATCATTTGAAACAATGCTCATGTTTTTGAAAGTATTTCTAATATTCTCACTAACTATAATAGCATTGCAACCTGATTTCCCAGTATTAGGGAAGTGGTTAAATCATTTTATGATATATGAGCCAAATGGAATATTGGGATAACCATTAAAATGATAAATGTAAGAAAAGGTACATAAAAATAAAAGTAAGTAGTAGAATAAGAATAAAAAGTGCTAAGTGAATTTTTATGTGAAATTACTCGTAAATGAAAATTTTAAAATATGCTTATATATACTTACAAGAAAAAGTTAAGTGGTAAAGTTGGTTAAATAGATTTATAGAAGCAAAATGATATTTTTTTCTTTACTCATTCATAGATAAATAAACTTAGTATGGCAAGAATAACAAATCCATTCTGCCATAGGAATGTTCCCATATTCTCTGTACACCTTTAAAAATAAGACTTTTTTTAAATTTACAAATTTTTGTTCTTGGGTTTCAATTATACAATGATCAAGTACCCATACCTCCACCAATGCCAATTTTCCACCACCACTGATCCCAGTATCCCTCCCACCCCCCATCCCCCCACCCCCCAACCCCCGCCTCTGTGGCAAGAATAAGACATTTTGTCTCCAGTTTTAACTATTTTATAAAGAAGAGCAATGATTTACTCTTTCCTATGATAAATTTTACCTATAGTAAAAAATTAAATGTCTTCCCTGAGACCACCTGTGAGTAATTTGAAACCTGATCGTTAGTTGAAATTTTAGCCAGGTAAGTGGTATTTATCTCATTTATCTTGCTAACTCTTGTGGAACACTTCACTGATTTAAAAAAATCTCCCTGTTGCTGTTTAGCTGCATGTGTGAGGTATTGTGTATTACACAAGTATGCATAGACCCTGAGAGCCCTGTGTGTTATGTATGTGTTCTGAAAGTCACAGCATCTTTACCCTGGAGGAAAAAATAGAAAGTTTTACTCTTACTCTAATGTGTTGACTAAGCATTTAGCTGAGTGATACTGTGATAGTCATATAATTTTTTCCTATTTTCTCATTTAAACAATGAGAATAAAATAATTCTTAATTAAAGATTATGTAAAGATCAAGTTATAGGAATGAATGACATGAGATAATATATTCAAATGTAACACTACACATAGTGATATTTCACAACTATATTATGAGAAAGATTGATTTTATAATTCTATAAGTAGCTGGTTGTATAAACCTGACCAATATACTTACTTTTTTTAATGGTTTCCTCATATTTTCCTCTACAAGATTATGCATTATTATACATTGTATTCAATGGTGAAATCTAAAAGTCTACCAATAGGATCAGGTACAAGACAAGGGTGCCCACTCTCACCACTATTATCAATATAATATTTGGAAGTTGCCGCCACAGCAGTTAAGGGCATCCAGGTAGAAAAAGAAACCAGACTCTCTATTTCAGGATAACATGATATTATACTTCAAAAGCCCAAAGACTCTACAAAATAAGCTCCTAGAGATAAAAGACTTGTATAGTAAAGTGGGGGGCTGCAAAATCAACATGTAAAATCTCATGGCTTTTCTTCATGCAAATAGTGAAATAGAAGAGAAAGAACTTAAAAAATAATCTAATTCACAATTGTGCCTCAGAAAATAGGAGTCAGCCTAACAAGAGAGGGAAAGACTTATACAAAGAAAACTACAAAACATTATTAAAAGGAATAAAAGAAGACACAAGGAAATAGAAGCACATCTCCTTCTCATGGATGAGGAGGATTAACATTGCCAAAATGGCAGTACTCTTCAACACATTACACAGATTCCATGAAGTAAGGATAGACATGATATTTTCCAAAGAAGTAGATCACTCTTGAAATTTATATGAAATAGTACCCCCCCACACACACACACATGGTAAAAGAATATGGGTGGCGTTGCTTACCCCAACTTCATTTTGTACTACAAAGCTCTAGTAATTAAAACATGTTACTGGAATAGGACATACCCTCAGATCAATAGAATAGAATTAAAAATCGAGAGACAGATCCTAAGGTATATGGACAGTTAATCTTCAATAAAGGTGTTAAAGCAGGAAGTAGATCAGGGAGAGCCTCTTCCTCAAGTGTTACTGGGGAAACTGGTTAGCCATATGCAAAAACAAATGCTTGCAGACCCCTTTCTAATACCATGCACAAAAGTCAAATCAAAGTGGACTAAAGATCTCAGTATCAGACCTGAGGGAAACATAGGCAGAACTCTCCAAGACATTGAAGCTAGAGGCACTTAAAAGATTCAACACCATTAGCCAATTAAACAGAAGCAAAGATTTAACAAATGGCACTACATTAAGAAACTCCTATACCTTAAAGGAAATGATGACCTTAATACAAAGACACCCACAGATTTGGAGAAAAAAATTGCTCACCACTTATCTAATAAAGAGTTAATATCCAAGAAATATAAAGCACTAGTAGAACTTTAAAAAAATTATCCAACCCCCTAAAAAATTGGGGGTGGGGTAGGAAATGAAAAAAATCAAATAAGACATATAAATGGCCAAAAGGCATATGAAAATGTTCAGCATCACTAATTTGCACTAATCAAAGAAGTGCAAATAAAAACAGCAAGAAAAATGACCCCACACCCAAGAGACTGCACAAATATAAAAGAAAAAAACAAATGACCAGTATTGACATGGATGCAGGGAAAAGGGACCTTCATTCACTGATGGTGGGAATGTCAATTGGCCCAGCCTTCTGGGGAAACAAATTGGACACCTCTTCAAGGAATTGAGCTTCCATATGCCAGCATTTCAACTCCTTGGAATATACACCAAAGACCCCAAAATATTTCAGTAAAGACATTTGCACTCCTATATTCATTGCAGTACTATTCACAGTAGGTCAAATCTGGAAATAACCCAAATACTCAAGAACGGATGACTGAATAGAGAAACTGTGACATAGACAGCATGTAGTACTACTTGACTGTAAGGAAAAGGATGAAATCATACACGTTGCCTCAGTGTGGATGAATCAATGGATGAGATGTACTATGCTGGGCGAAATTTGTCAGAAGGAGAGGGACAGATAGAGAATGATCTCTCTCATATGTGAAATATAAACATAGTAAGGAAACAACGAATACCTAAAGGCAACAGAAACTGAGAACTGGTCTTTAGGCAGAAGCATATCACCAGAGCAGGGGATAGAAGGAAGGAGGAGACACTAGGACAGTGGTGAAGGGAAGCTAACACTGGTGGAGACTGTGGTGTTAGGATCTTTTATGCATGAAACCTTGGCCATTATCATAATGAAAATCATAGTGCTTCTGTTCACAATAGCCAGAATCTGGAAACAACCCAAGTGCCCAAGAATAGTTGACTGGCTAAAGAAACTCTGGTACATCTACACAATGGAATACTATGCAGCTGTTAGGAGAAATGAAGTCATAAAATTTGCTTATAAGTGGACGGTCATGGAGAATATCATGCTAAGTGAAATGAGTCAGAAAGAAAGGAACAGACATAGAATGACTGCACTCATTGTGGAATATAAAATATCCTAATATGAGACTAACACCCAAGGACAGTAGAAACAGGGCCAGGGAGATCGCCCCATGGTTGGAAGCCTGCCTTATGAACTGGAGGAGAAGGCAGCTGGGATAGAAAAGGGATTACTAAATCAATGATGGTTGGAGGGATCACTCGGTATGGGAGATGTGTGCCGAAAGTAGATAAAGGACCAAACATGATGGCCTCTCTTTATTTGTATTGCAAACCATAATGGCCATAAGTAGAGAGAGAATAAGAGGGAAACTGTCTGCCATAGAGGCATGGGAAGGGGCGGGGAAGCTGTGGGAGGTAGGATTACTGGAGACATTGGTGGTAGAAAATGTACACTTGTGGAGGGATGGGTGTTCAATCATTGTATGACTGAAAATCAAACATGAAAGCTTTGTAAGTGTAGCTCACAGTGATTCAATAAAAAAATCATAGTGCTTAAAATTAATTTTTAAATTGAAGAGCAATACTTGGAATATTTACTGTTTGTGGCCATAGGGTGATAAGCTATGAGCACATTCCTATAATAGCACTGAAGTTATGGTTATCTTGAGTCATACCCTAGTAGTACACCTACTTGGGTACACATATTTGGGTGCATGTTTGCATTTCCATTATCAAAACTAAACTAAAGTTATTTTACCCAGGGACTGCACTGACTTTAGGATTTTTATTAGAAAGGCAATTCTGTGCGTGTGTGTGTGTGTGTGTGTGTGTGTGTGTGTATGGTTTTAGGGCCACACCCAGCAATGCTCAGGGCTAACTCCTGGTTCTGTACTCAGGATCACTCCAGTGGGCTCAGGGGAACATGTGGAATTCCAGAGATAGAAACTGGATCATCCATGTACAAGGAAAATGCCCTACATGCTGTATTATCACTCTGGCCCCTTCTTTCTGACAGTTTTAAGATAGAAAATTTTACTAGGTAAACAGTTTGAAAAACATAAAATTTATGTGTATAAAGTTTTAATCTGAGAAATATTTTAATTTTGTGATGCTGTATTTTTAAAATGATATAAATATCAGATTTTAAAATGGTTTCTGTGGGAAAATTGAATTTTTCAATGATCTTGATAGATTTTATTTTCCCAAATTACTATTTGAGAACAATCTACTTCTCTGGTTTTCTTTCATAAATCTGATTAGCTTGGTTTTTCCCCCCCTTAAAAAGATAATTCTGCAGCTGTTGTTACCATAATGAATGAGGATGAGAATAAATTCGTAAGCAAACTGATGAGGGAAAATAACAATATTACCATGAGAGTTTGGCTTGGAATGATCATCCATTCTGGTAAGTGATATGTTTGTATGTGGAATATGCTGAGAGTTCTAGCTTGTTCTCAATATTGAGTAGACTTGCTAAAGAAGCTCAAATTGTCACTGATTTAAGAAGCCCTTGTTAATAAATAAGCTAGATCTGCTGGCAGCGTTTAGTTAGAGACTTACAAATTCTGAATGAATTTAGGTTTTTTAGGTTTAATCAGCTAGAGTGGTTTATGAAAATACTTAAATCAACAAGTATTGCTGTCCCCAATCCCTTCTCACCCTCCCCTCCCCCAACTTCCCACCCCCAGTGTGTTATAAGAAGCACTGTTAGCTGTACCTGACTGCCTTTAATGTTCTAGTTTTTGGTAACCTGTGTTTTCACCTCGTAGGACTATGGTACTAAGTCTTAATTAATAGTGAGACTTTTTTTTTTCAAATTAACTTAGTAAATTTAAAAGGAGTTGGTTCAACAAAATTTGTAGAAGAATATTTCGGTGAGTAATAATAAAGGATTTGGATGATATAAACATTAATATTATTGTAATGCTGTTACCTAAAATAAATTAAAAATTAAATTTGGGGTGTCTCTAAATATAGTATAACAAGTTACTTGCCTTGCATGCAGCTAATTTGGATTTGATCCCTTGCATGCTATATGGTTCTCTGAGCCTTGCCAGGAGTGATCTCTGAACAGTCAAGAGTAGGCCCTGAGCAGTACCAGGTATGGCCCAACACGCACCCACAATTAAAAAAAATTTTACAAAAGAACTAAACAGCATTGAAGAGATTGGACAGCACGTAGGGTGCTTGCTTGGCATGGAACTGACCCAGTTTCAATTCCCGGTATCCAATATGATCCCTCAGCCCGCCAGTAGTGGTCCCTGAGCATAGAGCCAGCTAAGTACTGTCCCCACCCCTGAAAAAAAATTTTAGATAAACAGAGTCTATATAAAATTAGAAAGTCTGTTTCACAATTTATTTAAAGTTGAATTCCAAATAATTTACGTAAATATGGATTCTAAAATATTAAACACTGTCAACCAAGTGAAAAGATTTAAACTTGATCACTAAAATGAATTGTAAAATGTGTTTACATTATTCCCACAAGGTGGCATTACCTCAGCTGGAAAACAAAATTGGAACTATAGTGGTCGCTATAGAAACCCTCCTTGACCTTTGTCCACCATCAGTGAATCCTCACTGATGAGAAAAAGAGGGTTGATGGTAGGGTGGGTATAGGTGTTTAGAAATCTATCCCTCACACAATTAATGTGAAAGCATTGTACACTTTTATCAAAGAGCCACGTTCTTTTACAGTACTATGCAATAAAACTTTGTGAACAGTTGTTCTGTATCTGCGCTGCCCAGTAATGACTAACCTCGTGTGGCTATTGAGCACCTAAAAGCTGATACTGAGGGACTGATTTGTGTATGTGTGGTGCCAGAAATTAAACTCAGGATCCCTGCATGCATGGCACACCCCTAAAGACTGATTTTTTAATTTTTTCACTTTTATTAAGTTGTTTCTACTGTGAATTTTGTTGGTCACATCCAAAGATGCTCTCGCTTGTCAGGCCACTCCCAGTAGTTCTCAGGAGCCACTCAGGCCATACAGGGCAGCCTAGGGGATGGAGAGCAAGTACTGTAGGGAGTCAAACTCTGAACCTCAAACATAAAAGGTACTTGTTCTACTGCATCTCTGGTCCTTAAAAAATAAGGTTATTTAAAATAGTTATATATACAGCTCTAATTGGGCTGGAGCAATAGCACAGCGGGTAGGGCGTTCACCTTGCATGCAGCCAACATGGCCGACCCGAGTTCGATTCCTCTGCCCCTCTCGGAGAGCCCAGCAAGCTACCGAGAGTATCTCGCCCTCACGGCAAAGCCTGGCAAGCTACCCATGAGGTATTCAATATGCCAAACACAGTAACAAGTCTCACAATGTTACTGGGCCCTCTCGAGCAAATTGATGAACAGGAGGACAGTGACAGTGTGACAGTTGTAAGTATTTTCATGCTTTCCTCCTTAGTAATAGTGGCAACAAAGAGTTGTGTAGTGTGTGTTTATTTTACATCTCTCTCTTTAGATAAGACTTCACATTGGTTGGATGGATCAGAGGTTACATTTGTCAAATGGGCAGATAAAAGTAAGAGTGGCAGTGGAAAATGTGGCATTCTGTTAGCTTCAAATGAAACTTGGAAAAACGTTGACTGTACACCTGGCTATGGAAGAGTTGTCTGCAAAATTCCTTTAAGTAAGTAGCATGAACTTTTGAATGATTTTTTTTGTACAACAGGTCAAAGAATCAATGTATGATTTTGTTATGTTCCACTTTTGCTGGAGCGATAGCACAGTGCTAGGGCGTTTGCCTTGCACGCAGCCAACATGGCCGACCCGAGTTCGATTCCTCCGCCCCTCTCGGAGAGCCCGGCAAGCTACCGAGAGTATCTCGCCCGCAGGGCAGAGCCTGGCAAGCTCCCCGTGACGTATTCGATATGCCAAACACAGTAACAACAAAGTCTCCAATGGAGACGTTACTGGGCCCGCTCGAGCAAATCGATGATCAACGGGAGGGCCTTACTTTTGTTCTTGGTTTTAAAGTATATAGTTTGTTTTAAAGTATATAGTCTAGGGACCAGACAGATAATACCGTAGATAGGGTGCTTGCCTTGCACACAGCCAACCTGGGTTTGATCCTTGGCATCCCAAATGGTCCCCTGAACATGCCAGGATTGATTCCTGAGTGCAAAGTAAAGAGTAATCTCTGAGCATTGTGGGATATGGCCTAAAAACCAAATAAGCAAACGAAAAGTATGCGGTCTTTAAAGTATGTTCAGGGCAGGTGAGATAGTACAGTGAGTAGGATACGCGCTTTCCTTGCTCATGGCTGGCCTGGTTTTGATCCCTGGCATCTCATATGGTCTTCCAAGCCCACCAGGAGTGATTCCTAGTGCAGAGTCAGGAGTTACTCCTGAACATCACCTGGTGTGGCCCCAACAAAAACAAAAAAGATGTGCAAAATTTTTTATTGTCATAGAAATTCTTTTCCTTGGAAAAAATACAAGAGATAATTAGTGTATAGGATCTTTAATACTCCTAGGTGGGGAGATTGGAGACACCGTACAAGGTTAAGGTGCTTGCTTTATATGCAACTTCGTATAAACTGCCTGATTTTATCCCCTAAGCACACCAGGAGTTGCCCCTAAGCACCAGTTGTGGCCCAAAAGCTCCCATATAGAACTATTTAGGGACTGGAGAGATAAATAGCAGGTTGGACACTTCCTTGCACACAGTTGACCTGGGTTTGATCCCTGGCACCCCATGGGGTTCTCTGAATACTGCCAGTAACTTCTGAGCAGAGAGCCAGTAGTGAGCCCTCAGCAACTGCACTGGTTGTGGCTCAAAAACAAAAATTGTATAAATTATATATAATTGCTTTCCAAGAAGAATTGAAGCTGCCATCATATATGGAAAGTTCTTTTGGGGGGCACTTGTGACAGTGCTTGGAGTTGAACTGGGAATCCCACCTGTGCTAAAGCCCTTCAGGCTATCTTCCCAGCCCTTTGAAAATATTTTCAGATGTATTGTATTGTATTGTATTGTATTGTATTGTATTGTGTTGTATTGTATTGCATTGTATTGTATTCCATGGGCTGGAGCGATAGCACAGCGGGTAGGGCGTTTGTCTTACACGCAGCCAACCGGGGTAAGATTCCTCTGTCCCTCTTGGAGAACCCAGCAAGCTACCGAGAGTATCCCGTCGGCACGGCAAAGCCTGGCAAGTTACCCATGGTGTATTCGATATGCCAAAAAACAGTAACAACAAGTCTCATAATGGAGACCTATTCGATATGCCAAAAATAGTAACAAATCTCACAATGGAGACGTTACTGGTGTCTGCAAATTGATGAACAATGGGATGACAGTGCTACAGTGCTACCCTCTTTACACAAAATTCATGATGTAACTTTAAAGCAGTACAAAGCTAAGTGTAATTAATCAAAAAATCCTGGTTATTATCTATAGGAAAAAATAATTTAAACTTTATCATAAATTATATGGGCTGGGGAGATAGCACAGCAGGTAAGGTGTTTGCCTTGCATGCAGCCGACCTGCGTTTGATTTGTCCGCCCCTCTCGGAGAGCCCGGCAAGCTACTGAGAGTATCTCACTTGCATGGCAAAGCTTGGCAAGCTACCCATGACATATTCAATATGCCAAAAACAGTAACAACAAGTCTCACAATTTGTTGTGAGACGTTACTGGTGCCCACTCGAGCAAATTGATGAACAACAGGAGGACAGTGCTACAGTGCTACGTAAATTATATATAAAATAACTTCCTGAAGCATTGTCATTTTTTTTCGCAGCAGCATTGGTGGGTAGAGGGCAAACCTTGTGCTCAGGATCACTCCTAAAGATCTAATATAAAAATGTCCATTTTGGTGTACAAGTAGTAATGATAAAGCCCCAATTCTTGGTGATATGGATCGGTACATTCACATCTCATTCAGTAAATATTGAGTGTTTACCATTTTCTATGCCCTTTTCATGTGCTGGAGTAGACTAGTGAATAAAATAGATAACTATTCTTCCAGGATTTATAATCCAGTGAAAGAAGATTTATAATAATATATTTATAAAATTCTCAGATTTATAATATAATAATAAAGAAGATTTATAATAGCAGGTCAGTTGTCAAAAGAGAAGAAACTATCAAATAGCCACAAACTCAAGTCCCCAAGGCTAGGGTCAGAGCTACTCCAGACGAGTTATCAGGAAAGATGCTTCCTAGCAGGAGACATCATTGCTGAGATCAGAATCAAACATCACTGGGGAAAAGTACATCATACAAAAGAACCCGCTGGAGCAAAGACCTTGTGGCAGAATGATCTTGAGCTCTCATGAGAGAGCTGGAGCCTAAGTAGGTGCCAGACACCTAGGCCTCTGGAAGCAAGGGTCAAAGTGGGACACAAAGTCATTAGGTTGAACTTGTGGATCAGGGTTGGGGTGGTTTGACATTAAGTTGGTTTGGGTCATTTTGAATATCTGTATAGAGGTGGGAAGTCTGCTATAAAATCGAACATTTGAGAAAAATAATGAATGTAAGAAAAAGCCAAAGGCAATAGAAATTGAGAACTGATTTCTAGAACTGAGCATACTAATGGGAGGGAAGGGCATGATGGTGTGTGGAGTGGATATGAATGGGGTAAGGGGGAGGCGAGGAATCCTCAGACAATGGTGGATGGACAGAAGCATACACTCTGGTGGAAAGTGTGACATTGGGATGGTGTATACTCGAAACCCTATCATAAATCACAATGCTTCAAATAAGTAAGAGAGAGAGAGAGAGAGAGAGAGAGAGAGAGAGAGAGAGAGAGAGATCAGCTAGAGGTGGCTGGTGGATTTACAGCTGTGGGACAGAATGAGCTTACTTTATCAACAGGCAGAGAAGAGATTTGGTACCAAATCTGAAATTGATTGAATAGCTAGGAGCAAAGTGAAATCATCCTAAAAGCTTCAATCATTTTAAAACTATTTGGCCCCAGGTAAATCAATCACAAAAATTTACAACTTTTAGCTCTGTGCTATCAAAGTCAGGGAATATACTGGGAATAGTATTCTCAGAAGAGAAATAAAAGGGATAAGTGAGCATAATGGTAGTGCTTTAATTTCTTTAGAAGAAAATCATTATAGCAATGAAGAGGTTTTGAATGAAAAGGAAAACAGCTGAATTTGAGAAGAAAGCACTGAAGCATTTGATGATGAGTTTGAAATTGGTATTAAAACTATGAAATAATCAAGTGGCTATTGCACCTGGTTTGTATATATAAAATCAGAAATGATCACTTTTATACTCACTCCTCCACTTTCAAACATTTGCCTCATCTAGGTCCTGATTACAGAGGAATTGGTATCACATTTGCTGTGCTGTGTATCCTCGCTCTTATCATCGGACTAATTTTGTTCCTCAGGCAGAGGAAGCGTTTGCCCTGGCCGGGATTCTTCTCTTCAGTTCGTTATGAACAAGGAGTAAATGAAGATGAGATTATGCTTCCTACTTTCCATGACTAAATTCTTTTAAAAGTTTGCTAGTTTGCACTTATGTATGAGGGAAAATGAGCCATTTAAATTTTTCCCAGTGTCAGTATTTACTGTGTTCTAAAGTAGAAACCTTAAGTAGTTTTCTCAGTCCTTCAGTTGTAATGCTGGTACACACACTTTCTCACAAAGTGTATTTTTATCTAGCTAATAACATGGTGAGGAAGTCCAAGCTATTTGTTGGATAGTAAGTTTAATATTCATTTTCTCTGTAAGAATATGGTTGATCATTACGATATGTTTCTGTTTTGTTTGGTGGACACACCCACATTAGTATTCAGCGCTGACTCTTAGCTCTGCACTCAGGGATCACTCCTGGTGGGGCACAGGGGATATGTGGGTGCTGGGGATCGACCCCAGGTTAGCCTCATGCAAGGAAGTGCCCTACCCTCTGTACTGTCACTCCAGCCCAAGATATGTATGTTTTAACGATATTTTAGCACTACTTCCTAGAAAATTTAAATGGGCACATTGCTCTGGCACACATTTACCTTTTGGAAGAAGAGCTATTTTGAAGAATGTCTGGCCAAACACATTAGTACCTCAAAGTAAAATTGCAACCTAACCATTATCAATATTGTTCAAAATAGTCCTATGTAGCATTTTCAGGAAATTCTTAAACATGGAGGCATGCTTATTTTTAATATAGTAAACAGTACCTCTTTCCATATGATTCCTTTTATTTTATTAATTTATTTTTGTTTTTTGTGTGGTACTTGGGATCAAACACAAGACTTTATACATGTAAGACATGTGTCAACTACCTAGCCATGATCCCAGCCCTAATTTTTTGTTTTTGTTTTTTGAGTGCCAGGGATTTAACCCTTGCACATGTGAGACATGCCTTCTATCACTGAGGAATTCCCTGAACAAGATGCTTTTGCACTATTCCAAAAATATTCCATGTCAAAATTACCTAAATGTCTATTTTTTTCTATTCATGAAAGTAGCTTTTGAAATATTTTGTGCTTAACCATAAATACCTGTAGCAGCATCTTTTTATTTTTTTCTTATGTATAAACTTTTTTTAAGGGAGTGGAGTGTCTTAAAATAAATGTTTTTGTTTGCTTGCTTATTTCTTACTTTTTTCAGTACTAGGAAATGAACTTAGGGTCTCATACATGCAAAGCAAGTACTCTATCACTAAGCTACAT